AAGAGTGGAAAATTGTGTAAATCGGAAAGTGTATAAAGTAATCCAGAGTTTCTAATTTTAGTCTCAGAAGGCAGCAAATTTGAGGAAAACTACCTGATTTAATAACGCTTCCAACGCACTCGTCATTTTCTTATTTAGTGGTTGTGAGACCAAGATGTTGATGACAAAAAGAGAAAAAATGGTGGTTCAAGGATTGCTAATGTTTGAGAGTGACTTGCTACTCGTGCTACAAACTTCACCAGTAGATTCTTGACCCTAAAATGAACAAAAAAGTTCATATTGACCATGGTCCGATTCTCAACCATTTCAGAGTAATTTCGCTTTTTATCGATTTTGAAAGATATCACGTCCTGGCGTCGGAAAATCGTGATATCTTTTAATCTAAACATTTCTCTTAAAATCTATAAGCACCGTTGAAATCCCCGTTAATTTTTCAATAAGAAGATGAAGGTGGCAAAACGTTTGGGTCTTTCTTCCTTGACCTTCTAGCTGTTTGTAAACTTCTTAAGCATTACATACTAAATGGGCATTAAATTAAATTAAAAAATTTCAATGGAATTATGATTTTGATTCTCTCTAAAAATTAACGGGGATTTCAACGGTGCTTATAGATTTTAAGAGAAATGTTTAGATTAAAAGATATCACGATTTTCCGACGCCAGGACGTGATATCTTTCAAAATCGATAAAAAGCGAAATTACTCTGAAATGGTTGAGAATCGGACCATGGTCAATATGAACTTTTTTGTTCATTTTAGGGTGAAGAATCTACTGGAGAAGTTTGTAGCACGAGTAGCAATTCACCCTGTATATATTATATTTTTTTATATTATATTCTTTTATTTTGCATTAATTTGGGATAAGCTTTTTTTTGTATCTATATTTTAAAACTTAGAAATTCCTTCAAATTTTATTGCTGTTAACATTGTCTACACGTTGAAACAGTAGTTTATTAGGTCATAACAATTGAGAAATAAATGACAAAAAGATTTTTCATTTCTTAATGTTGAGTAGCGAGTACGGCTACTAGCTTATATTGTCAAAAAGAAGATATTGATCTTAATCAGTTTTAAATTTATGGTTATGCATTTCATCAATGACATGACTAGCAGAATTCCAAGTTTTGTCATCTGAATTCTTAAATTCTGACGCAAATGAAAAAAGCTTTTCGTGTATATTACTTCACTAAATAAATCTTTAAATAACTTGAGTTTTGAAACATTCACATTCAAGCTAAAAATAGCAAGATTGTCAGAGGTTTTGAATTTTTGCGGAGTCGATAACGGTGATTCAGTTTTTGTAGATCACTTTAATGAGAAAAATATTACAAATGAAGATGAATGTAATCTAAAAGGATATTGCACATCGAGATGAAAGGCGATGAGTTCTTTGTACAGTGGAAATGATCGATGATTTAATTAAAAATGATCAATTTAAGGACAAGTAAATACATTTAATAATATGATGGCCCTATGATAACGACATAATAATCAAATTATTTTAAATCCCTTGTTACGAGTACATTTTTCACGATTTTTTGTCTTACAATAGGATCACGGATTTGAACGAAACTTTTTTGGTGATACTACTTCAAATGTAATGCAATTTAAGTAATTTTTCTACCTTTATTATGCGTTTATTACAAGGTTATTATTTATATCAGTCGATTTCTTTTAAATAGGATAAGACAAAGATGTGCAAAATTATATTAACTTCAAATTAATAAAAAGTTTTAAAAACCAAACGACGTTTTAAGTAAAGGGGGTCAAAATATAATTTATTTAAAAAAAATCATTCAGATTCATTTTAAATACTCATTAACAATAACAATTTTGGTAGCGATAAAACTAATTCGGGATCAATGTTTTTGTCCGAGATGTCCACATAAAACTTCATAATTAAATTGTATCCAAATTCAACATTGCTCAAACATGTCTATTTTTCTGCCTTCGCCAACAACGTTTAGATTTTGTGGCATTACAAGTGAGAAAAATAAGGATGAGTTAAAAAAAACTTCAAACGTTTTATGTTATTTCTGCTGTTATAATTTATAAGGCCTTATAATTTATATAAGGCGACGTTTATGCCATTAGGTCTAGTTAGTAGTAGAACTCTACTAACTTCTCACTTGTAATGCCACAAAATCTAAACGTTGTTGGCGAAGGCAGAAACATAGACACGTTTGAACAATGTTGAATATGGATACAATCTAATTATGAAGTTTCTGGTGGATTGGTGGAGTCGTTTCAGCGTTATCTCCATTTTTGTGATTTTCGTGTGTGAAGGCATTTTATTTTTACCCAAAATTTTTATATAGAGTTTTTCTATGCAAAATGAAAGAAGAAAAAAAAAGAATCTCAACTTTTTTACTTGCTAAACAATATCCGACATATTCAATATATGTTCCCATCCTATGGCTGGCCACCAATAAAATTTTTATTTTTCATCATTAGAAATATCGACCACTTTTTCACTCATGAACATTCTGAATCAAAGTATGGCATTGAAGAAGAATTCAGTTGTTACTGCCAAGCTTTCGACCTAATTTAAGGTCATCATCAGGGCAAAACAATCTTGAATACAGATTGGCATTAAGTTTTATGCAGGCGATCCAAATTTCCTTGAAGACCGACTCAGTCCCAACATTGTCAAGGTCTGTAACAGTGACCCAGAATTAAGAATGGCGCTGATGGAAGAGTATGAAAATATTCCACAGCACTATTCAAAACCTCATAAAATCGATGCCACGTCGAATGCAAGCAGTGATCACAACAAGAGGAGGAAATGCTCCGTACTCAATTGAATATTCATTGTTTTCATACAACAATTTTGGTAAAATTGTTGTACTAAATTTAATTTTTTATTTAGCTATATATTCCGTTTTTTAAAAAAATATCCCGTAAACAACCAAAAATAAAAAATGTAACCATTGCGAGTATTTACTAAAAACGAGGGCGGCCACTTTTTTTGCTGTTCAGTGTAGATTGACCAAAAATAGTTTCACTAAATTCGGTGATCCCACGTTCATAAGATAAAAGGATAAAAAATAACCTATTGGGTTGTCCGGAAAATAATGCAGGATTTTGGTATTAAACAAAAAAAAAGAAACTAGTTACTTTAAAGCAATGTTCTTTAATCAAAATAATTTCCCATACTCTCNGCCGCTGCTCTACCACTTGAGATCACGATAGCTCAAGTGGTAGAGCAGCGGCGATTCTAGCCGAAGATCGTGGGTTCGAATCCCGCTCGTGACACTAACTTTTTTTATCTCAACTAAAAACCTTAATTAATTGAAAGATATTAATTGGTCAAGCGGACCACGAAAACTAGTGAACTTAATATTAATATCAATTTAATTATTAGGTTTGGAAATTTTCAACCGTTTAGCTCCAGTGGTTTACTTGGCCCTGAACTTGATACTTTTGCAATAGATATACGCAATCAGAAAAAGGATAGTAATTTAATTTACTTGTGTTCTTTTGAATGAAACTTGTAATTGTTTTTATTATTATTTTTACAGCACTACCAATAATAATTGTAAAACACTGACACCTCGAGGGCTGACCTCTGCCTGCCGTTACGAACCATCGTAAAAAATATATAATTTTTTTTTTTTTGTCAACCGTTCAATTTGTTTGTAACGAATGCATACGGCATTCAGAAAATTCTCATTGGCTTAATGCTTTATTATTGTAGTAATTTGTTTAGACGGGTTAACAATTGAACCGTTTAATAAATTAGCTCACAAGGCTTTTTCTATTAAAATAATTATGTGTATAAATAAATTTCGACGTTGATGTACTATGGACACATAAAATAATTAAAACAATCTTTTTGTAATACCTAATATAATTGGAAATACAAATATAATTTTACAATTATCGAAAAATTAGTTTTAAACCTTTTAAGCTTTAGAACTTTAGGAACAAGTGTCAGAGGGTTTTACAAATTTTTCTCCGCTAATTTCATTGAACTGTTAATAGAAAAAATGAAATAACACTCTTATGATGGTTACAAAACCCCGTTTCGCTTCGTATTTCAATAAAATTCGCTCAAAATCTGTGACGAACGTTGGTGGAAAGGAGGTGGATTGATTGAAAATGTCTAACGGTGCAAGTTTTAATGTTCGTTTCAAGGACGTTTTCGAGAACATGCAGGAGTGCACGTACCATTCATATTTTATGCTTGCTTACCCAACATTAATACCATCCATCAGTTACTCTTGTTAATAAATTAGTGTAAATTTTAACAGGTTGTATTTAAATAGGTTAAACGTTTATCAAAGTTGTATTTGTCGGTAGTGATTATCTCCAGTATAAATAATTAACATTTATCAGTGTTAAATATTATAAACTTTATGTTAAAAACTATCAGGGATAAAGGTTTCTAGGAAAGAAAATGCTTACAAAGGGATGAAGAAGTTGGTGTGTCACAGATTTGGACCAAACTTTTTCAATAATTCTACATTCCAAAATATGAGACACTTATTTCATTAATTTCTTGTGAAGGCTTTCTAGTTAAGCCAAAAAAATTATTTAAATTGAAATTTTCCGTTTTTAATATTTCTATTTAGCCGTTCTGCTTGCTTAAATCTATTATTTTAATATATCATATTAATCATTTTTTCTGACGATTGTAATAAATATATGGTAAAAAAATTCTAAAAACCAAATTTTTTTTTCAAGTAAACTAGGTCATAATTTTTGTTTTCTTAAAACTAATATGAAATTCGTTCTAGCACCTCTAGAGACCTTTAAATATAGATTTTGTTTGGTTACATTGGAGGAATCCATAAAAAATTGACAAGTCACATACATAGACATCAGTCTAGAAAACAAAAACAACTGAGCAAACCCATAGTACTATTAATGCCTAGATAAATGTTTAATCTACAAAATAACTTTTCGATTAAAAAAAAAAAAAAAAGAAGGAGAAGAATATAAAGTTCACCAGTTTTACAAAATCCGTCATTAACGAATGAGAAGCATTAGATCTCTTGTGCATCTTTTGTATGATATGCGTTATCACTTAAAGCAACCTTCTGTGCTGTGTAACGTTCAATTTGATATTTTTAATTTTTTTTACTCAGTTACCGTTTTTTACAACTTTGTCCATCGCTTTGTTACACATATTTAGATGAAATTCTTTGATAAATGAATAATAACCAAATGTATTATTACATCTAAGTATGGCTTCAACTTTAACGCCCGAACAGAGGCAAAGGATAGAAGAAAACCGCCAGAAAGCACTTGCCAAGCTTGCAGCAAAGTCGGCAAACCAGCAGAAGACACCTGATCAATCGTACAACAGGGTGCAACCTGTCCAACAGGCCTCAAGCTCGCTTGGCAACAGGGTTCCCTTTAAAAACCAGAGCTTCCAGACAAAGCCGGCCACAAATGGGAACCAGGCCCAGAATTTCTACAAGAGCAAGTCCCTTGGTTCGCACACCGGTGGCAGCAAGCCGGAAGAGAAGCCAAAAAGCTGGAATGTTGTCTCGGAAACCCTGACAGGGACGTGCTCGCTGATCAGCAACGACCGATTTGCAGTCACTATAGGCTACAATTCTAAGGTCATCGATATAATGAAAAGCATACCTGGACGACAATATGGTATATTAATGACTTTTAACTATTTTAAAAAGGTAGATTAAATAAATATACTTTTAAACTTTTACACTTCGTGAATTTGCTATAATTACTGCTTAAAAAATTCTTAAATGCTCATTGTAAACATAAACATTTACTACTCACCCCTTATTACATTACACAGGAACATTGAAAATTGAAAATTGAACTTCAGATATATTGATACAAGCCAGGTTCCACAAGGGAGCATTCTTGTCTTGCTCTGTATACCATTTATACTGCTTACTTTTCTCTACATACCAACACCATCAATACCACCTATGCGTGTAATGCAATTTGGTCTTCCATCCCTATACAAGAACACCTCAAGCTTATCAAAAACCGGTGAAAAAACTGGAGGACAAAACAAAAGAGGAAAAATGTACCGAGTGTTGGGCTATATTGAAAAATAGTTTTTTACACTGTACATCAACACATGACTTTATTCAAGTCAGATACTTAGAACAACATCTAGAGAGCAGTCTGATGTGGAATCCCCACACAAGACATAAGAGATAACAACTTTTAGAACTGAAATTCGTTTTGACTGTCAAAACTTAACTAACAACTATGTAAGACATTGCTGGATTGGAACTGTGGAATTCTGCTAAGCCACCCAATATCCAGTGCATTCGATCCTAACGAAAAACCCTCACACAAATTATCAATGCTCCTTACTTTGAAACTAGCCTCACTATCACAACCACATCATTCTTTTGTCAATGAACTGATCTGATCCTGCTTTCACAAGTTCCGTGCCAAACTTTTGATCCATATCAACCCTATTGCCTCCAGTTTCCCATCCTGAGAATGTGCCATGTCATCTTAATCAATGATGGCTTCAAAACCTCCGTACCCCTTAATGGTTGCAAGTTCAAAGTATTGGCTGGTGATTTTTCTTAATCTGTGTCCTCTGAGTGCAGTGATGGGAATAGTGACAGTGTGGTGACCAGGAGAAAGATACCAAATATGCATATATTCTGCATACTTACTGGGTACAAATAAATATTTAATCAAACAAATAAAAAATTAAAATACCCATAAATATAACTAATATATGACTATTGATAATATTTTTAACAACAAAAAAAGCAACATATATGCATGCAATAAACATTTAGTGGGATTCATTTGTAAAAGCTCAACCTATGAATGCTTTACCTCATCATCAATGAAACCAACACGTTTGCTGATAATGTGTTAATTTCACAATTTTACAGATACAAACAAAAAATTCTGGCATTTCCCTCTAGATCAGTACGATACCCTGAAATCCAAACTGTCACCTTTGTCACCGAGTGTTATTGTCGGCAACATTCCAAAAAGTGTTTTCAAGGTATCACACCTCTTTAATAGTATATTGTAAACTGATCACATTTGTAATGCGTGAAATTTTAGATAATTAAAGATGTAGAACCTGTTCAGGATTTCAAGAATATTGACATTTCAACAATTGACCCTGTTCTACTTGAAAGTCTATTTCCCTTTCAAGTAGAAGGAGTTAAGTAAGGAGTTTATTAATCTATGCTTCAAACAAAAAGTAAAATAAAATAAATCACTTTTAGATATGGGATTTTTAAACATGGCAAATGCCTTATCGCAGATGATATGGGTCTTGGCAAGACATTACAAGCTCTTGCGATTGCTGATTATTATTACGAAGACTGGCCCCTTATGATTGTCTGCCCTTCTTCAATGAGGTGCCATTTGTAAACAAGATTTATCAGCCTATAAAATCTACAATAAAAACTTCTAGGTTTCAGTGGCAGGCGGAAATTTTGAAATACCTCACGAAAGTTCCTAGCTATTCAATTTTACTCGCGACTAATGGGAAAGCATGTATTTCAAGTGAATATAAAGTAGTTATACTGTCGTACGATCTTCTGGTCAAATTTAAAGAGGTTTTAAAAAAACTTCATTTTGGCCTGGTTATATTTGTAAGAAATTTTAATTCATTTTAGTTTTGTGAGAATTAAAAAATAAATCAATAAATTTAATTTTATATTGAAAAGGATGAGAGTCATAGTTTAAAAAATGCCAAGACACAACGAACAAAAGCTGCCTTGGAAATCTCAAAGAATATAAAATGTAAAATTTTGTTGAGTGGGACTCCTGCTTTATCCAGGCCGATTGAACTTTACCCACAGATCAGGCTTTTGGAACCATCACTTTTCAAAGAAATGTAATTATATTTTAACTCAGTGACTACAAAACATACACAAATAGATTATATAAAATTATTTTTAGACACGAATATGGCGTGAGATATTGTGACGGTAAACAGGACAAATTCGGATGGAATTTTCAAGGTTCTTCTCACTTGGAAGAACTTAAAATAATATTGGAGGCTAAATTTATGATAAGACGTCTTAAAGCAAATGTCCTAGAACAGTTGCCTTCAAAAATGAGGTAACATTTAAATGTTTGAAATAAAAGTGTGTGATAATAATAAATAATATGAAATCGAACAGGCAAGTAGTGACTTTAAATGATGATCACATCGACATGAAAAGTATGAAAATGAAAAGTTTAGAAACTAAGCTGAATAAAAACAAAAACATCAGTGGTTCTGATAAGCGAAGTACACTTCTTGCATATTATGCGGAAACAGGAAGGGCGAAAATACCCGCAATTTTGTAAGTTTTTAAATTTTAGTATTTTATATATTAATATATTTATAAAATGTGTAAATATTATAGAAAATATATTGAAGATTTATTAGAGAAAAATAAGAAATTTTTATGCTTTGCCCACCACACAGATGTTTTGAATTCAATATCAGATTTATTGGAGAAAAAGGAAGTTTAGTAAGTTTTAATTAAAATAATTTTTTTCCTGATTTTACTAAAATAATTGATTTTTTAAGCTATATCCGTATTGATGGTTCTGTGAGTTCTGAGGAAAGAAAGTCAGTCTGTGACCAATTCCAAGAGGAGGACAGATTTAGGGTAGCTGTTCTTTCGATCACAGCAGCAAACACAGGTGTAACCTTAACAGCTGCTCAGCTTGTTGTATTTGCCGAAATTTTTTGGAATCCTGGGGTATGGTTTTTCCTATGCTACATCAGACCAAACCATAATGTTGTTCATTGATCGACAGGAATTAGTGCAAGCAGAAGACAGAGCGCACAGAATCGGTCAGAAAAGCAGTGTCTTAGTGCAATATTTGTTAGCAAAAGGGACAGCCGATGATTACCTCTGGCCTTTGGTTCAGTCAAAATTGAACATTCTTAACCAAGCAGGTTTAAGCAAAGAAACTGAACTCTCTGTTAAAAATGTTGTTAATAAATCTAAGGTACATTTTAAAATTTATGTTACATTTTGATTTATTTTAGCCATAAAATTATAATACTGATAACTATTTTCAGCTGGTCCAATCAAGCATAATGCAGTATTTTAGTGAATTGGATTATGATATTGATGATAATGATCTAGCTAATTTAATGGATGAAATTGAAGGAGTTCCAGAAAAAAGAAAAAAACTATTTTAAATACAACTTAAGTTGAAGTAAGAATTTATATGTTGAAGATTTGTTTAAACTTTTTTCTGGTGATAATTATAGTTTTTAGCTAGCATTTTTTTATTGTATAAATATGGAATTATTTTTGTACCTTCTCTGATATACATTGTAAATAATCTCATATTATATATATTAAATGTATATATTTAATTAACAATTCATAAGCTTTTTCATGTTTAACATTTTAAAAAAATTTTCTGTATGATGTTCAATATGATTGCATGCTATTTATAATAAAGTCAATACGATATAATTACACTTGTGTGTAAAGACTGATTTACAAGATGTCAAAGATTTTCCAATATCTCAAAAATGTTTCTTAACATAAGATTATACAATTTTTAATGTTTGTTTAACAAATTTTTTATGTTTCTAATTTATCACAGTTAAATTGTGAATTTTATACTCAAATTCTTCATTGTTATAAATTTCTGTATCAATAGTGTTTGGAATGTTTTGTATAATTTATTATTAATGAATATTGAGTCTTAAGAGTGTTTTTGTGAATTATTCAATTTGACTTTTCCTTTTAGGGCAATTTGGTTCAAATCTCATCGTCATTGTGGTCTAAGCTTATTTCCATCATAATCCTGCATCCTAAACTATTTATAATACTATATTTTTGATACTGGGTAATACAAAATATTTTTCATAACGGGGGAGAAAAAGCAAACTATTATTCAAAATGGAGCCACTTCCCATCTTTGTAATTTACATTTTTTCTTTCTTTGTTATATTCCACTAAATTTCCATATACATTTTCACTACAGCCTAAAGTCTATTCGAATTTTCTGTAGTATGTTATGTTCAGCGGTCAGCGTTTTGTCAATGTGTTCTCAGCACTGGTCATTTTGGAAAATCGTTTGAACAAAGGAAGTCATGCCATAATGAAACAAAAACCAATTCACGATTTTTTTAATAACAATTTACAATTAATTAAGGTTTTTTGTTGAGATGAAAAAAAGTTAATGGCACGAGAGGGATTCGAATTTGATTTTTTCATCTCAACAAAAACCTTAATTAATTGTAAAGTATTAATTGGTCAAGCGGACCACGAAATTAGTGAATTTAATAACAATGTTTAATTTTACAGTTGATCTATTTCCACTTTTTCATTATTTTTACTTTATTTTTTTTTTTTTCTTTCCTTTTAGACATCTTGATAATTCGAATTATTTTTGTGATCCCTTTGGTTTTGAATTACCAAGAGTAGTCGACTCTATTTTAATCTAAGGTCTTAGTTGAGGCTAAGGAGTTGGTGACTGAGTGGACCGAAGCCTAGATAGCTTAAGTGGCTAATTCATTAATGGAGACCATTATGATTAGATTTCCAATTTTTTATTCAAAGACAGTTGAGATGAAAAAGTTAGTGTCACGAGCAGGATTCAAACCCACGATCTTCGTGCTTTAAACCACTTGAGCTATAAATATCGATCCCCGAGACACCAACTTCTCTTCCCAACCAGCTATCATTTAAATTTCCCCTTACCGCACTGATTTTATTTTAGACTGTCTTTGCGTAAAAATTTGGAAATAATATTTAATAGTAAACCGATAACATGTTAAATAAAATAGTTAAATAAGTGATTATTATAAGTTAAATTGAGTGATTGTCTTTGGTATAATAGTGAGGGCTTACCAGCAGCTGACCTGTGATGGAGCTTGACCTAAAGCTTCAGCAGCAATCCTTAAAAAATGTGGAATGCTTCATGAATTTGCATGTCATCTTTGCACAAGGGCCATGTTAATCTTCTTTGTTTCGTACCAATGTACAACCGAAGTTCAATGTGGTGAATCGTTAAACTTGAAATTTCGAAGTTTTCTAAGAGTAACGACTGGTCATTGCTAGTGGTGTCTTGATTTGGGCGGTGAATAATTGGCTTGTGGCTGGGGTTAACAAAAGTGAGGTTACCGTGCTGGTTATCTCAGTTATCTTGTTTGACATTTGCTCTTCCGGGGATATCAACATGTTGGACGAGGATGGACTGGTGAGATGCTTACAATCCAGCAACCCTCTCCCACTGCTGAAAGAGTTCAGCAACGATGCCCTGGCCAACCCGTCGGACTTCCCGGCCCTGAAAGCCGGCAGGGAGTTCGTTTGGTCGAGCATTTTCAAGAAGATCCAGTCCGAACCGGACATACTTTATTACCTTAAAACCCTTAGGGTTTTGAGCAGGGACAAAGAGGGAATAGAGGAATTTGTGACAGAGGAAAGGGTCGCTGTGCTGTTCAGGTGTGCTGGGTTCGGTGAGAACAATTACAATGTTGATTGCGTTGTCGAAGCATTAAAATGCATGTGCAACCTCATGTTGAACTACAACAAGACCGCGCAGTACTTGGAGGATCTAAACACCGTCAAATATGCAGTCAAAAGGATCAACAGTAAAGACACTGTCAACGAGGAGAAAATTTACGATATCAAATTGTTATTTTTAATTACAGCATTAAATCGATCAGCCAGATTAAAAGCTTTCCAAGAAGCCAGAGGGTTGAATTTATTCACAAATTTGCTCAAAGAGGAAAGCAATTTTACAAATATGACAGAAGAAAGGGTGAAATTCTGCTGTGACATTATAAAATTGATGTTTAATGTGTTAATCGAAATAGAACCTGATAAACCGAATACAAGGTGTGATGCAAGTGAAATTCTCAAATTGACAACAGTCCTTAAAGATTTACTCTCTTGCAACTTGGAATATGCTAAGCGATTGCATAACGATGTTATTAACTTGCTCACAGTCATTCCTAAAATAGATCTTTTAGTTTTAATCGCTCCAGGACAGGGTTCGTCAGAACCAGATTTTTCAACTTTGGATAATATCATTAATCATATGGACATTTTACTTACAGAACTAGAATCAAATCCAAAAATACCGAAAGATACTTTATCACCGATTCTCTTGGTGTTGTTCCGTCTAGCAGAATTGCACAACCTTTCGAGAAAGTACATGAGATTTAAGATATTGCCAAAGCTCACTGATGTGTCCACAAGGCCTGAGGAAGGTAAAACAATCAGGAATAAACTTTGCAGACTGCTCACTTGCCCGGTGCAGTGTATAAGCGATTTGGTCGCCGATTTTCTTTTTGTTCTATGCAAAGAGAATGTGGCGCGTATGGTGAAACACACCGGATTTGGAAATGCTGCAGGGTTGCTGGCGAGGCGAGGCCTCCTGGGTGCTCCGGGCGATTACAGTTCCGACTCGGAGGACAGCGAGACAGAAGAGTACAGCAGGGACAAGCACTTGATTAACCCGATTATCGGTTGCAAAGATGAACCGAGGGTGAACATTCTTGACTCAATGCCGTATGAACAGAAAGAATTCCTGGCTATGGAGTTGGTGAATAAAATTGACCAACTACAAAGAGGCGGAATAATTCAACCGTGTCGAATCGTCGACGGTCGCCCTGAGCCTATAGAAAGTTTACAAGAATTACAGCTGGCCATGAAACCGAATGAAAATAATGAAGACTCTTCATGAATTGTGTCGTTATTGAAATTTGTGTTTTCTCTGTGACTGCTGATTCAAAATGAAAAGTTGGACCCAACTTGCTTATTAAATTGTATTAATAATGCATTGTGAATTGAATCAAACTGTGCAAAAAGCATGGAAAACAATCCATATTATAAATTATTTATGCAAAGCAAAAGTTTTGTGTGTAAGGTATTTTTACTCCTTAAATGATGGAGGTGTGATTTAACTTTGGTTATTTGTTTGTTTATAATAAAACACTTACCTTGTTATTGTAAATGTGGATCTCAAATTTGAGAGTAGTTCACTTTCCTTTAGTGCGAAAAGATGTTGCATTATTCATTATCTTTTTTGTTTTCATCTGTTAACTTTTATTTATTGTTGTTTATTGTAATGAGTAACTGAATAAAAAAAAACTAATAAAATAATATTGGTTTTTATTATTTAATTATAATTCTACTTCTATTTATTTATTACTTGTATTTAATTTAATTCTACTTTAGTAGAACCCCCATTATCCAGGGTTTAATTATCTGGGGAACCAATTAATCATGTTTCTTTTTATTATTTGATTTATGTATTCTGCATTGGCAGCAACAACAATCACTAACATTTCTTACCTGATTAAGAATAGGCCATACTGGTTGACACATGGACACCTGCCATGGGCCAAAGCCCACACCCTTAAGCAAAGAAAGGTTGCTCGATGTGTCCCACATAACCGAAACTTGTCATGCGTTGGATCCTTATAGAGAGTATGTAGGCATGTTGCTGGATGGAGTGGTGAGGGACAGGTGGTGAAATATAGTGTCACATTGCCTCTCCCCCTTAGCAGTTTGAATGTATTTATTTGTGCAATTGTATTGTAGATGTTAGGTTTAGGCTAGATTATATGTTGCATGTGACTGGGGCTGAAATTACCTAGTGGTCAAAAGCCTGTTGGCTGGGAAGCTATCTCTGAGCATCTGGTTCAAAGGGGATACTATTGACCTAGCTGCATAATGGGATAAGCGAACTCCTGTAAGGTATAGAAGATAGATATATCTAGATCAGTGGTTATATAAATATGATCAGGAGTGACCCTTCAGGTGAAAGTCCAATAAATTAGAGTTTATCAATCAATAGGAAACAAAGACAGAATAAAAATAATTGAGACACTGATGACATAGGAATCCAAAATGTAAACTTTTTATTTACAAATATTTTATTTGTAATATAATTGAGTGCAATTAATATAATTTGATAAATTAATATGAAGCAAATGTTATAAAAACAACAGAAAAAAATTGATAAAAGCAGTTTTATTTATTTTCCTCCACTGAAAAAAGAAAAATGTATATACTTATTTAAGTAGACGATCAATTTGATATATAAAATGGTTAACACGTTTTGTACAAAGTAAGGTGTGGATTTGTTAAGATTAGCTTCAATTATTAAAATTCCACCAGGGGAAAAGTCATAGATATTCACTAAAACAGCAGTCCTGGTTCACAATAAATAAATCTTGTTAGAATCAGTACTATGCCTCTTAATTCCCATCGGGTTGTTATTTCTATTGTTTTATACTTTTTAAATATATATTTTCTTTTCTTAGAAGGCGAGGCCGGCTTCACGATAAGTAGCATAGATTTTCTCTATGCTGTTGACGTACGCGGCAGTTCTAAGATCCAAGCCAAGGTTATATTTCATAGCAGTTTTCATAATTGCCTAGAAAAAAAAGTACGTTCAGTTAAGATTAAATATTTGCTGATGGACAATTTGATAAAATTGATACGTACCCTAGCCGATCTTTCCATTGTATAATCGAGACCAGAGTGCACAATATCTTTCTCGCTCGCACCGGATATCCTCTTTTGGAAAGATTCTGAAGGTGTCACAGGAATACGACCTCCGACACGTCCAAACCTTCTTTCCAGAGATTCCTGAACGGATTCTGAAAACAAAAACATTAATTCACACCAAATTCTTGCCCATTAAAGAAAGGAATTATACTAAAACCCATCTATAATGGACACGCACAAAAGAAATGTATTTGCTAGTTATTAAGGGGTGCCTGTTGAGGAGTTTAACAAAGAAAAGTACGTAGAATTTCCACAGTTGTGTCAAAATAAAAAATTTAAGCGAAACGTTTTTCATTATTTCTCAGTCAAGGATTATGTACCATATCTAGCCTACTTTTCTGAACTGTTTTTGACTGGAGATTTTTTTTAACATGATCATAACAAATAATATTTTTTCATATGGGCATTTAATATGTTTTACTGTTTACATCCGTTCTAAAGAGGTGGTTAGGAGGGGGTTGCTTACTCTAATGGACACTGATCACAGTGTCTGTGAATGTTATGGACAGGTTTAAAATTTATAGAAATCCTATCTGTTTTGCTAGTGAATGGAAAAATTGTTTAGTGTCTGTTAAGAGGGGTTTCACTGTATAATTATTTTTAAAAAATTTACCTAGAAGATGATAGTTGGATTCTCTCTCATATTTAAATGTGAGTCTTCCATAAGATACGTGATTCAAATTTTTCAGCCATTCGAAAAACGATACAGTGACACCACCAGCGTTTACGAACAGGTCAGGGATGATGAGAACATTCCTTTCCAATAAAATGGCATCAGCAGCTGGCGTGGTGGGGCCGTTGGCAGCTTCAGCAACAATCTGTACAAATGTATTTATTGACAAAAAAATATTGTACAAACTACTGCATTTGTAATATAAATAAATACCTTGGCTTTAATTTTATGAGCGTTTGCTTTTGTAATAACTTTTTCTGTGGCAGCAGGGATGAGGATGTCGCATTCCTCATACATAAGGCCCTCTCCTTCGTACGCCTTAGCACCAGGGAAGCCGACGATGGTTCCAGTATCATTTCTATAATCTTCAAGTTGCTAAAGCCAAAAATAATGTTAGAAAGAACATCCTGATTTTTTATTTATTTTTAAATCCATCATACCTTGGGGTCAATTCCTTCTGGGTTGTAAATGCTACCATCATGCTCAAGAACTCCAACGCAGACTGCACCAGCCCTTGTTAGATATCTCATTGTGTGAAGGCCGACATTACCAAACCCCTTAATTTATAAATAATTTATTATTATCAATATAAACTTTTATTATATGATATTAATAGGATTTTTGCATTTTATGAACTTCGATTTCATTTTCTTGATGCACAGTATTATCTAATGTTTAATATTTCCAACATGTTTTTTTTATTATATGCAGTCAATAAGAAATGCATGTAGTTTTGTTGTTACAATATTAACAAATGGTAATTCAAGGTTATCCCAAATCTTTACTTAATTTGGATTTAAAAGTTAATTATTTATTTAACTCACTTGAACAATGAAGGTCTTTCCACCCCAACCAGGAGTCGTGCCGATCATGCCCATGTAATTTGCTTCCATAATGAAGTTCTCAATTCCGTGGAAAACACCTCGCCCAGTCGCAGAGATACGACCGTGAATTCCACCCTGGTTAATCGGCTTACCGGTAACACAAGCGTGGGCATTGATGTCCAAATGTCCTGTTGGAACAATGTTAAGAAATAATAGCATTAACGCCTAGAAAGAAGTGATATTTCAACACAAATTTCTTACCGATGGTTTTGGCATATGTGTCAGCGATCCATGACATTTCCCTTTCGCCAGTGCCCATATCTGGAGCTGGCACATCAACACCAGGTCCTAGGGTGGGGAAAAATAAAATAGTGTAGAAAGCGGATAATGTTACAGGAAGCAAATACAATTTTTCTAATTTTGTATCACTTGTGATCATTATGTCAACGTGAAATATGATGAAATAATCGAAGACTCTGAACCACCAGCCTTTTTTAAAACCCTTCACATTTTAAAATCTTATAAAAGAACTCTTTTGACAAATTACACACTGAGCAACTGCTTAAGATGACTAAAAAATATAACTACCAATGAGAATAGGGCAGACCAAGATAAATTATAATTTATTTAAAGAAGTTAAATCCTTAAAAAATTAAGTTAATAAATTTTGTTATAAAGGAGTGTTTCACACTTAACGGCCATAGTGACAGATCAAACACTTTATCAATATTTTTTTCAAATGATACTCAAAGAAAATTAGAGGGAAAAGCTAAGATTCAATTTCAGAATAGCTGAAATGGAAAATACAAGCATTGTACACCTCAACAAGTCCTCTATTAATAATTAATTACTGATAATACCATTATTGCACTTAGAGCATGGTTTGTTCAAGTCTTGTGTTTTTTGGTTTGATAATTAAATTGGTTATTTAACTGATTAAATATGTCATCACCTAGTCTACTGAATATGCATAGAAAATTTAATAGAATTATTTGACTGATGAAACAATAATATCAGATTGGTATATAAGTGAAGGAAAAGTTAATAATAAACAGGAGAAAAATTGTTATGATGACCTAATTAATGTACTAAATTATAATAAATAATACAAAATTGTACATTAAAATACCATCTCATATATATGTATTTTAGATTTACAGACAATTCTGTTTACTTGAATAATTTAAAAAAGTAAAAATACATAATAATATAAATTAAAAAAGATTCTTAATAATATAAATATATTTATTACACTGGGCAGTATATAGAAGTTTTGCTCCTAATATTTCCTTACCCTAAAAAGTGTTAATTCATGATTATTTGTTCTAAGTTTCTTAGTTGTACATCCCGGAATCTATAAATTTGTTAAGCATGATTTTCAATTTTTTTTATATTTTATTTTTAAGTTTTGGTTCATTTCATCAATAATAAAGTGTAAATGAATTAGCTTAAAATAAAAGATGATTATACAAAATGATACATTTTCTAAATTAATAGAATATTTTGCCTGTGAATGAAGTATCCATTAAGAAACTTTTCTTAATTGGAGCAGACTATTATAAGTTTAATCTAACTAAATTATATTGTTTAAATAAAATACTTTTTTAGTAGCTAAATTAGTTTGTAGCTAGGAAACCTGTTTGTTATATTGTTTTACGCATCTGTGGTAATTTTAAATAAAGAATATGTGACTTACCGATGAAGCCTTTTTTGGCCAGTTCCAGGGTGAATCTCCTAGTGATTTTTTCGAGTTCGTGTTCAGTATATTCTTTGGGGTTGATCTTGACACCTCCTTTGGCACCACCGAACGGTACATCGACACAGGCGCATTTGAACGTCATCAGGGCCGACAAGGCCTTGACTTCATCACGGGTCACATCGGATGAATAACGGATACCTGAGCAAAAATGATAAAAAAAAAAAAAAAAGGTTAGCAATCAAGAAGAATTGTACATTTAATATTTTTTTATTAGCACCAGATATTTCTTATTTGAAATTGAGACTATACAACTTTAAATAAAATATATGCTTATGTGTCTGTTCATGAGGTTTAGACATTTAAATATTTCATTGTTATTCTTGGGTGTATTATCTTCAATGTGATATTATAAACTTCATTATTCATATGAGGTTTTGGATAATTTAAAGTCAAGGTTTACTAACTTTCTTATTATGAAATGTGTTGTGATTAGTAACCGTTAATCGATAATTATTCAGAAATCGTGAGATGCGGTCTGGTGTGATGCAGGTTTCAGAAAAACATTTTCTTTATCGTGCCAACGTTTCAATCTTTATTGAGATCATCTTCAGGGCCTGGGATTTACAAACATTGTTTACATCTAACAAATACATGTATGATGTGGAAAAAAGTGAATTTATACAATGCAAACTATATTTTTTTATATTCAATCACGACTCTCAACACGACATGCAAGAATGGCACAATTACACAGAAGCAAACACTTTGAGTGAGTAGAAATGCTTTGGTTGAATAAAAAAAAAATATATTTTGCTTTGTATAAATTCACTTTTTCACACTTCTGTGTATTTTATCATGTTTAAGTTGGTTTCCTTTGTTAACAAGACAAGTACAAAACAAAATCTCCAAGTTTCCCCCCTAATGATAAAATGACACTAAGCAGCNAAAGAAAATGTTTTTCTGAAACCTACATCACACCAGACCGCATCTCACGATTTCTGAATAATTTTCTTACAATGTTACTTTTTAGTGAAGAACATTTTCAGTGAAAAATTGCATTGAGGTCTGTGAACTTGATCATCACTGATAATACTGGTCTGCTGGTTTTAATTGGCAGATATTGTTTTGGTGTTTTAGAGTTTCAGGGATAGTTTATATGTTATAGTGTTAATTGTGTCCTTTTATACAACTGAAAAATCTAAACACGTCTGTTGGGAGAAAGTAGCAAGAATCAATAGAACAACATGATCAGAGAAGATTGGTTGGTATGAATAAGAAAGAAAACTAAAAAGGATGTTGAAGATAAGAAAAAATACTGATGAATACATGTGGAAATTCAAGAATGACGTTTAAATATATTTTTGAAAATTATAAATAATAGTAGTTTTGTTTCCTGTCTCATCATCCTTACTAACTAGAGGTTTTAGTTTTAGATCATTGTTTTTGTCAAATCAAAATTCTTTTTTCGTGGAAGACGGATAAATATAATAAATACATATTTGCATATTGCTTATAATGCAACATAATTGTAATATATTAATTGGTCAAGCGAACCACGAAATTAGTGAATTTAATAATTTTAAAAATTTATTTTGCCTTACTTGAAAATTTCAAATTTGTCAACCTTTCCATATTCACTTTAAAAAAATATTCAGGAATCAATGAAACCTCTATCAATGAATTTAAATATTTATTCTTCAGTCATTTAATATAGTAATCAAGAATATATAATATTAAAGGTAAAATTATGTAAAATTGTAAATTTTTATTAACAATCACTTATTGTTGCTTGGTTATTAATTTTAACATACCACAATTCAGTTCGTAATTTAAAGTAAAGTAGATATTTCAGCTGGGGGCTAAGGTGGTATAATTGCACCCGTGAATAAAACAAAAGGAGAACTTCGGATGAAGCCCTCCTAAAGCATTGCGACATTCAACAAAATTCATGTAAATGAGAAACTATGGCTTCTCTAGAGTTTATGTACTGTGTATTTTATCATGTTTAAGTTGGTTTCCTTTGTTAACAAGACAAGTACAAAACAAAATCTCCAAGTTTCCCCCCTAATGATAAAATGACACTAAGCAGCATTAACTTTTTTTGTATTTTATTTTGGAACAAATAAAACTTAATGAAAATTAACACTTCATGGAAAAATGTGAATAAATAAGTGTACGAAACGAACACGACAAATGTGGATTACTGGCATCAATTTCAAATGAGGAAAACACCTTATTTTTTGGTTAAATGGTATTTTAAACAAATAAATTGTGAAATTTATAAAAAAATTATTGGTAACGGGCAAACTATAGATTAGAATGCAAGCCTATAAAAAAAGGAAAGGCCTTGAGAAGAAATTGAACAATGATGATTATAATAATCTAAGATAATCGATGGGACACTTCTAGTAAAGAGTTTTATTATCAGTAGAAAATTTCTCACAAGAGATAGCGAGCAAAAAGTGTTAGATGCCAGCAAAAATTTTGAAAAAAAAAGTGCTCAGATAATGTAATTTAAATTAATAATGTTTTAATCGTTTAATATCACGCGATTATACACCCTGGGCACGCCGTTCCCATGCGTTTTTTCCAAAGAATTTGTTAAATCAATATCTATTGTGTAATTAACCAAAAAGATAGTAATTCCATGTAGCAAAATGTGAAAATTTCGTTTCCGCCGGGGTGTAAATTTGCGAGAATGCCGGGGCGATGAATTGTTTTATCTATTTTTCATAGGCTTTAAAAACAGCTTGAAACGAGGGAATGATTCACATTTAAATAACAATGCGAACAAAAATTTATTCAAGAAGTTTCAATTTTCTAAACTGTTTCGAGGTGAAAGAAAAACGAGTGAGGGTTTATGTACGAGACTTGAACAAATTACCACATCATTGTTTCAGATGTTCTCCTCAGTAAGCTTCCTGCATGACAGATATTACTTTACTTTCTTTTTTTTTTTACTTTTACCTAGGTTAGTAGTAGTATATAGTCGATTTTTTTCAAATTAGACGTTGAGCAATCAAATTTAACAACATAACTTTAATTAAATTACTTCAAAAATATTTTTACCCTCTAATCCTTATATTTGCAAACTCCGCGACACAATAATTATTGCGCGGTTGACACACGGGCACCTGCTTTTGGGCCAAAGCCCGCGCAGGTGCCCCTTATGCTTGTGAAAGGTTGCTCGATGTGTCCTACATAATAGAGGCGTGTCATGCCTTGGCTCCATACAGAGAGCGTGTGGGCATGCCGCCGGATTTAAGAAGAGTTCTCGGACACGGTAGCGAGTTTCAGGGTCCCCAGTTCCGCTTTGTAGGGGAATTGGGAATTTTTTTATTGTATATAGCCTTTAAAATATATGTTTTGTGTTTCTGTTTCTTGTATGAGTAAATGTTATGAATGGGGAGGGGCTGATGGCGAAATAGTTTCTCCATCTCTCAGGTTGTGAATATGACTTGGGCTGGTGGCAGAAATTTGATAAAAATACCCCATCGACCCCAATTTAGATTAGTTTATTATAGGGAACAGGTAGATGGAGGAATATCGTGTACTCCATCCACCAAACAATATGAGTGCCATCAATGTATGTTGTGTGAAATGGGGAGGGGGCTGATGGTGAAGTAGCATCTCCATCGCCCCTCATGTTGAGGGCGTAACTTGGGTCTACGGCAGAAAACTTTTAAAGTACCCCCATCGACCCCAAATTAGATAAGTTTATTGTAGTGAACAGGTAGATGGAGGAATATCGAGTACTCCATCTGTCAAACAGTATGAGAGCGAACTATGTATATAGAAATGAATGTATTTATTGGTGTGATTGTGTATAGAGTGTGTAGGGGTACCTTGTAAGTGCTTCTTAATTCAATAGACTCATATAGAACAAATGAAATTCGGTATTTAAAAGAATTGTACTAATAAATTTAAACCACTATCGTATAAGATTTACCAAAATTATATTTCGAAAAATTGTAATGGCCGAGCCTATTGTTTATAATATGTTCTTAACACGAATGATTATACACAAAGGTCCATACCGCGGAAATTCAACGGGCCAGACACAAATCGGTTTAAGTCGTTTTTCTAAAGTTTGAAACGGTCATTAAGGGGATTCCGACCACTGAGATAAGCGAACAAACTAAGCACTGTAATTGTATACGGAAATTATTAATGTTCCCTAGTTTTAAAACGGACCTTTATTCAAGTGATGTAATTTTAGTACAGACATAGGAATCAAATCATATTTTAGTGGCGTTTCAGGTTGAAAAGAATAAAAAAAAAAAGAAGTTGTAAAGCCAAGGCGAACGGCATAGTTACGACGAGAAGCTTTCGGATTTTTGAAGTTTACAAAGGACACGGAATGCAGATTAGCCCGACGAACAGAAACAGTTAATGGTCAACTACACATTAAAAAAAATTATATGTGCATTTTGTAATTTCTTTAAGTTTGGTTATATAAAATTCGTTATACATCGGATAAACTATTACCAAAAATCAACAGAAATGTCTTTTTAATTAGGCAAATAACCTGAGCGCTGCACACACACACACACACACGCACGCACGCACGCGCGCACACACACACACACACACACACACACACACACACACACATAAAACATGCTATCATTGTTTTTGTAAAGAAGTTTTTTCTTTCACAATAACATTTGGATATACAGGTGTACCAGTGCGAATTAATTTGGACTGAACCCAATTCGGATTAGCCTGAAAACTGTAATGATACGAACATGCAGTAACACGTCCGATTTATTAAGACACGAATGTATTATAGATGCACATGTACGGTGAAAAATAAGCGTAAATTTTTAAAAAAGCTGGACATGGGCGAAATTGTAATTTGATCCTTTCCCGTCATTTCCGTCTGCGTATCTTCGCAGTTTTGGCCTTACAGACACATTTCAGCTTCTCGCCATATTCAGTGTTTAATAATAAATTTTGGTTAAAACCCGCCACTGAAAATGGCGAGAAGACGAAACGCGTCAGACCGACTAAAACAGGAGGATAGGCAGAACAAAATATTGCAACCGCCAAACTACAAGTAATAGAGTTTGGATTGTGCTAGGCCAAAATAACCTTTAACACCAAATTTAACAGGAAAATGTAAAAATTTATATTTTGCGAACTGAAAGTTTTTTCTCTTCGTCGATCGAAACTGTTTGGATAAGCTGGATTTTCGG